ATTGTGTTGGGATGCATTCCAAGCCATCCTGAGCATGCGGACTGCAGGCTGTGGGTTAGACAAGCTTGATTTAAAGCACTGACTGTACATTACATGGTTTAAATATCATCTCACTAGTATTTTTATTGACAGAGCATCTTGAAAAATAAGGAAAAGCTTACATAGACTTACAATCTCATCAAAATACAATTTTATAATCTGAATCAATGATTTACATTAGAGTTGGGAAACCCTGGGTTGGAGGATTGTGGTGTCAGAATGATGATTTCTAGCAGCCCAAGGTGATGATGCGCCTGGGAACGGTGTCCGCAGCACTAAGATGAACGTTTTGTATTCTAGTCATTCTCCTTCCCTAGCATTCTGTTCCTCCCCCTTCCCTAGCCTTCTGTTCCTTGTTCCTCCCCCTTCCCTGGCGTGCCGTTCCTTCTTCCCTAGCGTGCAGTTCCATACCACTCCCATGGACAGTACCGTTGTTCCTCACATTCTTAAGCATACCGTCCTTTGTGGGTCTCGGAAATATCCGTGCAGAGACCCTTTCTTCAAAATGTTGAACCGGTCCCTCTCCACGTTCATGAATGCCTTCACAGGCAAGACCAGCATCCTGAACGGTAAACCGTGTTTGGGTTTGCCAGGCACACCCACTGGAATTCAGTTAGTTTCTGAGAAGGGATGAGAAGAGTGGGCAATTAATGTTCTAGAAAAATTTTTACCTCTCTCTACTTGAAGGACGTTTGAAATTTCATCCTTCAGGAAAGCCACATGGTAGCGAGATTATAAAAACTAGCATTTTAATAAAAGGTACGTGAACTTTTCCCAGAAAGGTTCAAAACAATTTTCTCTTGTGGATATTGCTACAATGCCAGGCCTCCAGAGTTACCACTAACATTGATGTTTGACTTTTAGTAAGACTGACGCTAGTGGATAGGGTGACGATGAACAGTGCACTCTGTGAAGGAGTGACATCGAAGAGCAAGTTAAATCCACGCTCTTACAGAACGAGGTCATCTTTGTAGA